AATACTATACCCCCACTTCATTTATTTCAAAACAAAAGATAAAGAAAAGGAAGCAGCCCACTTTTAGGACCTAGGATCAAAACTTAAAAGACTAAAAAGCTAAAGAAACTAACCACTACAAACAAGAAACACTACATATATAAGTCTATTATAATGGTAGGGTTATGCCTAAGCATAAACAACAACAATAAAGTTAGTATATAGTAAGTCATTAACATTCTTAATACTTACAGTAAATCGATTCCACTTCTGCTTTCCGTTCATATACCTTGCTGTCTGCTCTCAGAAACGCGAGGACACGCCCCTCAATCCGTGCTGTCCACGTGCAGACTTCGGATTAAGGGACCTGGAGTGGATCGAACGAGTGCTGACCAGCAGCGCTTCTATACTGTAACCAAAAACCCACCACCCACAATGCTTCCCCTTCACACTGGAGAGCTTCTCTGAGCCTTTGTAATCTTCACTTTGGATGTTTAAACTTTTAAAACATACCTGATCATAAGCTTTTGAACCTGCGACCTTTAACATACTTAGATGATTCATTGATCCCCTGACTATTGGTAGTCATTGCTGCTTTCGTCTGAGACCTATTTCACTCTATTCTGTGTGGACAACTGTTTTAACGAGTCTTAATAAGGTTTGAACACTCAACCTTGCGAACTTCGCATCTGCATCATCTTTGATCCCCCTGAGTTATTGGAGGAGCTGGTTGAAGACTGGTTCTTAGACCTGTTCAGTCTTTCTGGTGGACACGTGTTTTAAAATCAACCTGAGTCTTATAAGATTCAAACCCACAACCTCTGATCTACCAAGCAGTCTCTCATCCCCCTGTGCCACTGGATCAGGTAGTTCTATCTTTCTTCTGAGACTTGTTCAGTCTTTCTGGTGGACCAATACTTAAAACAACCTGATCCTCATAAGGTTTGAACCTGCAATCTTACAACCTAGAAGTATTCATTGATCCCCCTGAGCTATTGAGTCAGGTAGTGGTAGACTTCATCTGAGACCTGTTCAGTCTTTCTGTTGGACATTGTTCTTAAAATTGTCTGATTGAACTAAGAATTGAACCCAGGTCTTTAGAACTTCCCCACAGCACTTTATCTTTCTGAGCCATTTGCTCAGACAGTCAGAGCATTTCTTACTTTCACCCTTTCCTTTCAAAAGTCTCAGAACAATGTAAAGATCAAACCCACAACCTAAAGATGTGGAGGAAGTCCTTTAACAAATGGAGATATAGGGTCAGAGACAGTTAGCTGTAGTTCTAGTCAGTTATAAGTCTTCCTCCAACAGCTTACAATTAGCATTATGTCCTGATGTTTCTAATTTACTGTCTGACTAATTTATTCAATTAAAATTAGAAAATGTTATTTGTTTACATCCAATAATCACACAAACACTGACAGAAGTTGGGGTTTGGGTTGGGAACTGGGTTTTTTTCTCCTTCTGCCCATTTATTGTGACTGAAAAAACAATTATACACAGTCAACATGTATCATTTATCACATTTAAACAAGCAAATGTATGAAAATATTTTTGTTTAAAAAATGTTCTCTTAGACTCGTTTTCATTTCCTTTTCAGCAGAGAACTACAGGTCCCAGAGAGCCTCTTTCATCCGAGTCTGCAACAACAAAACAACAAACTGATGAGTAATCATTGCACATAAAAAATAACAAATTTGTAATTTTAAAAATTTGTAATTTTAATTTGTAAAAACAAAGACTTACTTCCTGTCCTACTTTATGTCCACCG